TTTAACTCAAATAAACTTAAAATTTACTGTTACCCCACTCATTGGTCAAATGAAACATCAAAGGAGAATTTGTGATTTTTATGAATTTAATTTAATTTATGTAATTATCTTAATTTGAAATTAAGGATTTCTAAAGATAAATAAAATAACTAAATAAGTAATGTTTCTGTCCTTAGAAAAATTATTGGAGGTTCATTTAGGTCAGAGGACCATCAGGAACAAATCTCACAAATTTTTTTAATTTCATTTTAATTTTTATAATTATTACATGACCCTTTTAAGGAATAAATAAATAGAAAAATAAATTTTTATGTTAAAATTCATTTTTATATTTTTCATAAGTCTCTCTGACCACAAGGAACTCAGAGAAAATTATTTTATATTTTTCTCATTTTTATTTTAATTTTAATATTTTTTAAAAGTAAAAAAATATGTCAAAAATGAAGTTGTTATTTTAACTTAATTTTTATTTTTTTTAGGTGTCCCTGGTCACAGGAAGCACCCGAGACCACTTTTTGTATTTTTCTAAATCTCTTTAATCTATATAATTATTTAAAAAGAATTCAAAATTACTTGGAAAATTGATTTTTATATCTGAAATAATTTTAATGGCCTTAGGATTTTAAGAGGAGCTTTATGAAGTGGTGAGCTTCCATTTGGCCCAATTTGGAAATTGTTTGAATTATTTTGTATTTTCTAATTTTGAGTGTTCTTCTTAATTTTAAAAATAGAAAAATATATATTAAATTTTAAAATTCCATTTTTATTTTTCCTAGGTTCCTATGACAACAGTAAACTTAACAAACTCATTTTTATAATTTCTTATTTATATTTGATTTTTTATAATTATTTTAAGCAAATAATGATGATTAAAAAAAGTTGACATGACGAAGATTAAGATTTGAGATGTTAAAGATGCTCCCTGACTTTAGAAAAATCAGAGAGCATCCCTAAGCATGTGAGGAATGAATCCCCCAAATTTCCTATTTTTGTGATTATTATTTAATTATTTATAATTTAAAAAATTCATAATATTTAATTAATTTAAAAATAAATATAAATAAAATATGTTTAATTTTTTGTCCACATTATTCTCTTTTGTTCACTGAGTATTAGAATATATATTTTTTTAATTTTAGCATTTTTCTACACCAAGTTATGCATTTTAAAAGTTATCTGAATTAATTAAATAAAAAACCCTTATTTTTCTACTTATTTGAGTTAGCGACACCACAACCTTGTACACTTCAAGCTTTCCATGTGGCGAGCTCTAGTTCGACGATGCCATCCGAGCCAGCATCTACATGGCTCCGCGTTCCCGAATATATCCTTCGCTCGACACGATCTCGGTTGTCTGTTCGATACACGCGCAATCGGACAACTCCTCGTCATCGTCCCCAAATGACTTAACCCGAGAAGCACATAGTTTATAACCCTAATTTATCCTTAGATTCTCATCTAAACCATGCAGGGCTTGTTCTTAAAGCTTCATCTAGGTGAGACGAACACATCCATATGGTTACATGCACATGAAATTAAACTTTTCTTCATAAAATCCTAAATCGAGGCCAAATTTGGTTATTTTGATCCATATCTTTGTACGAGAGTTGAGACCCCAGTTGGATGGTTGCAAAAACTTCTCCTTGGTCCACAAACGTCCTTCAGGTGTTGATTTGAGTTGGTTTTAGGTCTATGTATGAATTTAATTCGGCTAGGTTTAGTGCGGAGGGCTTGGGAAGGGGCAGTTTCAATGGAGAGCTTCCTCTCTTGCTCTAGTGAAGCTCAAGAGTGAACTAATTGGGAGTTTTTATTGAGTTTAAGGGATGGACGTGGAAGGTCCTAATTTTCAGTGTGGAATTTAAGCTCAGGTAGTGGAAATGATGGCTAGAGAATGGTGGAGATGGGATTGGCAAGGTTGCTAGAAGGTCTAGGACAATTTTGGCAAAGTTTTGTTATGATTTTAACACACATCACCCTTTGGTCGTGGGAGGTCCCCTATTTATAGAAGAGGTTATGGCTGGCATAATGGCAAGCCATCAGGGAGTTGCTTAGATGGAGGGAAGAAGTGCTCTAGTGGCCAATTGGGTTGAGCCAGCTCGAGTGGGTGGAATTTTGGGTTTAGGCTTTGGGGAAGTTCTCGGGCTTAGTGTTTTCCAGTGGTTGGGTGGCTGGCCGGCTAGGGTCAAGTCACCTCCAAGCTCAAGGAAGCCAGGTAGATTGAGTGGTCAACTTAATTTGGTCCCAAGGTGGGTCCGAGACCTTAGTCCAAGAGAGAAGTGAAGTTTAGGAAACTTGGCTAGGTTTGGGTTCAACTCCTTGGTCCAAGGGTTAGGCTTGGTCCCAATGTAGTTAAAGGGCTTGGATTGACTCTAAGGCAAGTTTGAGTGAGCTTAGATGGCTTACTTGGGCATGAGGCAAGTATTCAAAATGTTGCATGGAAGAGGTTTGTTCAAGTGAAAGGAGGGGGAGGGAGTGGTCACCTCCACTTGCCAAATTTGGTAGGTTTGACCTCATGATGCCCATGGAGGGCTTCATGAGGCATGCTAAGCTATGTGTGAGGCCATCGTGATGTTTCATGTAAAAGCAAATTTGGATTTTATGAATTTTAAAAAGGAATGTCAACATGCTTCATTTGGACAAAAGTTCATGTACATGTATATTATACTTGGTATGATGCCATGATGAAATGATTTTAAGTATTATGGGATGATGAAAAGGGATTTTGTCATGTTGGCTTAAATTGGGCCTTTTAAAATCAATGCCATGCACTTTCAAAAATGCATATGGGTATGGGCATTTAAAGCATGCATGATGAGTTTAAATTGAAATTGACCATGGGCTAGTCAAATTATGTTTCGGTTGAATCTCAATTGGGTTTGAAGTTTGAAATTGGGTAGGTTAGGAGTGAATTGGGTGAAGATTGAGCTTACTTTGATCGATTAGGTGAAAAAAATGAAGATTCACCGAGAGAAAATGAACCACTTCCGCATAGAGATGTAAAAAACAAGAACATTAATACCGTAGACAGGTTTATCACGAATATCACAAGCAATATTTATAATAATAGAGCCATAAAATCGGAAAGGAAGTATAACAAAATTGTCGAATAGAGCTCGCCACAGATCGAGCCATTAGGCTTCATGCTTGAATTTGTGCTGCTTTTATCATTCCAACCGGACAGAGCATTCCGAGAATGCATGGTGTAAACAAGGAATGATATTTTTTAAACTTTTGGAAGGGGGTACGCCAAATTTGAATACAATTAGCAGTCCAGTGTTTAAATACATGTACAAAAGGTTGCAGCTTTACTTTAGATGTTGCCTGAAAACTGTTTTATTTAATTCTAATAAATTAAAATTATTTTTTATACAATATGCCCAAGTCTTTCTAGGTCTACCTCTGCCTTTCTTAACATAAGTCGAATCTAAAACATCTCCTCTCTTGACACTCTAATTTTGTCCGCCACTAGAGCTACACCAACCCTATCACACATATATTCATTTTACATTTTGTCTCTAAGTGTAAAGCCGCTCATCCACCTAACCATTCTCATCTCAACCTCATCTCAACCTCATCTCAACAACACTTAACTTAGTTTTATGCTTCTCTTTTAAAGGCCAACATTCTTCGTCATATAGCGTTGTAGGTCTCACCACCATCTTGAATTAAGCACCCATGTGATTTTTTTGAACTACAAAACCGATTTATTTATACGTGCTACAATATAACTATTGAGAATTTGATAAAAATATAAAAAAAAATGGGTTGGGGTTTTGCAATGAATTTTGACATTTGAGTGAGAATTTGAAAAATGGATGAAAGCGGGCGGTTGATTTGTAAATAGTAAGCATCACTAGAGCTATTGCTACTTAAATTACATTCCATGTATTCAATTTTAGTTCTACTCAAACGAATACCTTTTGACTCCAATGTAGACCTTCATAATTTAAGTTTTTTCACAAGAATGGTATCATCAGCGAAAAGCATACACCAAGGTACATCCTCCTTTAAATGTTCAGTAAGAACATTCATGACTAAAGTAAGAAGATATGGGCTTAAAGTCAATCCCTGATGTAATCCAACTGAAATAAGAAAATATTTGGTCAATCCTCTTTCTCTTCGAACACAAGTAATAACTCTAGTATACATATCTTTAATGACTTGAATACAAGTCATATAAACGCCTTTTTTTATCTAGAACTCTCCAAAGGATATTTCTTAGAACCTTATCGTAAGCTTTATCTAAATCTTTTATTAAAAAAGGCTTTAATAAATTCGAAAGATAATATTGATAGACCTAATTTTTAATTCGTTAATGATGTTCCTGCAATGATGATGTGAGCTTTGAACCAGTGGAGCAAATATTACGTACATTCGTATATTTGACTTACATCTGGTGAATGATGTAGATAGGGGTGTAAACGAGCCGAACACGACACGAGCGAGCCCAGGCCCAGCTCGTGTTCAACATGTTTGTTTAGCAAGTCGAACACGAGTCGTTCACAAACAAAGAGTCATTTTGACAACCCTATTCACGTAGCCATAAGATGTTAAGGATTGGGACAAAATTTAAAACATCATTTGAATCTAATTTAATAATTTTTTTTCAATTTTCTTCATTAATACTTTTAATTGATTATAAATCTTTGTAGCCTTGTAGTCAAGTAAATTTTTAAAACATACTACTCATAAAATATATATATATATATATATATATATATATATATAATTAGTAGTATTTCGAGCCAAAACGAGCTGAACAAGGACAACGCAAACAAATATTTGTTCAAATTTGTTTGTTTGTGTTGTTCGTGTTTGGTTCGTTAACTTAGCAAACGAGCCGAACACGAGCTGTTTGCGAAAATTGAGCCGTTTTGACAGCCCTAGAAGGAGACAAAAGAGTTGGGTTTTTAAATAAATAATTAATTAATTAATTAATTTTTGTTTTTTTATTACATCGTTGATGTACGTGTGTGCACGTAATATTTTTGCGCAGAAAGTAGAGCACTTCCCAGCTTCCACTTCTTCCTTTCTCGGGCTCCAACCTCTTCAAATGGCCGCTTCCTGCCTCACCACCCTTTCTTCTCCCCTCCCTGACCAACACACTTCCCTTTCCCCGTCAAATTTAATAAATCTCACCATCTCCTCCCCCTCCCATCTCCAACAACTCCACTCCCTCCTCATCAAATCCGGTGCTCCCATCTCCTCCCTCTCCTTCCTCCGGATCGCCGCAGTCTGCGCCCTCTCCCCTCCCTCCGCTTTCTCCTACGCTCGGAACCTATTCCACCGTTCCGCCAACTCGCCGGAGATCTTCCTCTGGAACTCCCACCTTAACACCCTCTCCTCGTCTTCCCCCTCGGATGCCCTCCTCCTTTTCACTCGCCTACTCTCATCCAATATCCTACCGAATACCTTCTCCTGCTCTTTCGCTCTCAAAGCTTGCTCCCAGTTATCAAATTGTTTTCTCACCGGCAAGAACATCCATGCTTTGATCTTGAAGCTGGGGTTCCATCCCGACGTTTTTTTACACAACACTTTGGTTCACATGTACTCATCTCTAGGCGCGATGGCTGACGCACACCTCATGTTTGAAAAGATGCCGAGGCGAGATACGGTCAGTTATAACATTATGATCGCCCGCTTGACGATGGATGGGGAAATGGATCTTGCACGTGAGATGTTCGATGCTATGCCTGAGAGGAGTGTTAGGTCATGGACTTCTCTGATTGCTGGGTATGTGCAGTGGCAAAATCCGAGGGAAGCAGTGCGGCTGTTTATTGAAATGGAAAATCTGGGTATGAGACCTAATGAGGTTACTGTGGTAGCTGTCCTTGCTGCCTGTGCTGATCTCGGGGCGCTTGATTTAGGGAAGAGAATTCATGAGTATGCAAACCTGTTCCGGTTTTTGAGTAATGTTAGAATTTGTAATACTCTGATTGACATGTACATTAAGTGTGGTTGCGTGCAAGTTGCAAGGGAAGTGTTTGATGATATGAGTGAGCGGACAGTGGTGTCATGGTCTGCTATGATTAATGGGTATGCAATTCATGGACAAGGAGATGATGCATTGGAGCTATTTAAGGATATGAGGAAGGTGGGTATTCAACCCAATCCAGTAACATTTGTTGGATTACTCCATGCTTGCAGCCACATGGGTTTGTTAAAACAAGGTCAGAATTTCTTCAAGACCATGATCAGGGATTACAACATTGTGCCAGAGATTGAGCATTATGGTTGCATGGTGGACCTTTTGAGTAGAGCTGGCCTGCTTGATGAAGCCCTGGAGTTCATAAGGAAAATGCCAGTCAAGCCCAATGGTGTTGTTTGGGGGGCTTTGCTTGGTGGAGCTAAAGTCTACAACAGGGTGGACATGGCTGAGGAGGCTGTCAGACAACTTTTTGATCTGGACCCCTTAAATGATGGATACTATGTTGTTCTATCAAACATTTATGCCAATGCTGGAAGGTTTAATGATGCAGCTAAAGTTCGCCGCTTAATGAGGAATAAAGGAGTGAAGAAGACTCCAGGGCAGAGTACAATTGCGGTGGATGGTGTGATCCATGAGTTTGTTGCTGGGGAGAGCGATCATCCTCAGGTGGAAGAGATTTACAGGAGCTGGGATGAGTTGTTGGTGAAATTAAAAGTTAGAGGTTATGTTCCAGATACTTCAGTAGTGCTACTTGACATGGAAGAAAGGGAAAAGGAGGCTGTTTTGTACAGACATAGTGAGAAGCTGGCTGTTGTGTTTGGGTTGATGAGCACACCACCAGGAACTGTGATTAGAATTATAAAGAATCTTAGGGTGTGCAACGACTGTCATGCAGCTCTGAAATTGATATCAGAGATATCCAAACGGGAGATTATAGTGCGTGATCGAAATCGTTTCCATTGTTTCAGGGATGGTTTTTGTTCCTGCAGAGATTATTGGTAGCATTGTTAATTTATTTTTCAAGTTTATTGAAAATCCTATATTTATATCTGTCTCCATAATCCATAATGAAGATGGTGATACTGTGATAGATCATTTCATACAAATAGAAGGGATGGTTGCTCCGAATTCTCCTTTCCATTAATCATTGTTTACATTGCCATAAATGAATAACGTAACGGCAATACCTCCAAAGTCCATTAGTCATTGTGTTTCTGGATGATTGATGCATATTCTAATGAGCAGAAGCTCTGTATTGTATCTACTATTGGTGCATAATACATTTCTGACAATTAAGTTGTTAAGCAAGCTATAAACGTGTCTCCAACGTAGAAGTTAGAAAACAACATGTTTCATGCTAATCTTGTATCCGAATAATTATTTGTTACATGAATTTCCTTTTTTTTTTTTTTGATGTCACGAATTTCCTAATTGGCTGTAATATATCTACTTTTGGTGAGTATTCCATTTCTGACAGAATTAATTTGTTAAGCATATTACACAAGTTTGTCTAACGTAGATGTTAGAAAACAATATGTTTAATGCTAAACTTGTATTTGAATAATTATTTGTTACTTGAATTTCCTCTTTGTATATTTCCAAAGTTGCACCTAATGTGACTTGAAGAGCCTACGCGTGATTATAAGATGGCTAAAATTTCACTTATAGGCTGAATTTTAATATTTTACATATCTAGATGATTATTTGGAATGAAACATTCTTTTTTATTGGAATAGCTAATACGTGTCAAGTTTTTAATCTATATGCCTTGTAAACTACTCATTGCTTCATAGCTTCTCTGTAGGTTTTCACTATATACAATTGTATCTATCTTCTTAGTTAGCAACACTACTTGCAGTAATTTAATGGCTATAATAATCATAAACTTCACTGGAAAAATATGAGATGGATCTAGCTGAGTGCTGGAATGCAGAAAATATAGATGCATAAAAATAGTTCATAATGGAATGCGGAAAATATTGTGTTCTCAATGGTGTAGTTAAGAGTGACTCTTGTTTAGCTTGCTTTTCTTTCAAATGCTCTAACCACTGCATCATTGTTAGACACAGATTTCCCCATTTCTTTCTATGGAACTTGGTCAATTTGGAAGCCTGGTTTTCCATGCAGTTGCTTCACAGTTAAGTATACTCCTTTTTTGTTTCTTCTTGCAAATGTTATTGAAGAATTGAGGGCTGTTTGGTTGGACTTGGATTGAAATGAGTTTTAATAAAACCTATAAATTCAAATTGGATGTATTTGAGGGTGTTAAATAATGAAAATTATTGGTTATCAATATCTTTGATTCAAATTAAAACCTACAACAAAACAATACCTGCAGAGTCTGAGTGTATAGAATTTAAAGATGATGTAAGTAAATCATCTTACTTGCATCCAAATAATATTTATGATTTGACATAGAAAAAAGAGATCGACAAACAGTATATTTTATATTTATGAGATTTCCTCATGTACTAATTAATCATACTATATCTTTTACATGCATCGTTGATGTTTTTCTTCATGATCATGTAATTTTTTCTTATTCATTTTGAATAATTAATGCCTTTTCTTAATGCTATTAGTGTTTTTTTAACTTGTTTCCTCATATTCTTAAAAATCTCAAGGTCATTTTTTATTCTCAAATGTACTTTGGCTTCATTTGATCATTTTTTTGTTTCTGTTTCATATCTTTGAAGGGTGTTTTAATGTTCATATGATACGGGTATAAAAAAGCATCATATGATCTAATGAACATATAAACTAACTTTAGACAATCTGATATTTCTAGTTGAGTGCATGATAAGTTTATTTAGTACAAAAACTTAACGATAAGGTATCTCACATAATTGTATCAAAAAATCTAAAGAGCTGGTTCAAATACTTCATAAGTACATTTTAGTTTAATAGTTAATTGGACCCCAAAAAAAATGTCATTTACCTAAATGGAGAAACTAACGCATTCAGATAATATACCATTAATCAAATAAATCATAGCCGTTAGTTTCTCCCTAACAACACCCCAAGTCTTCCACCAAAAATTCTAGTTTTATCCTGGTAGTTAACCTCGCATGTTTGCCATCTATTACTCTTGCACCCCCACAAAACATAAAAATTACATTCTCCTCCCCTGATGCTATAGATGAATTAAATTTTCAGCACAGAAGAAAAAGGAAGAAAACAGAGCTTCGATTAAAAAGCAGCGCAATAACAGAGACGAGAAAATCAATAAGTTAGCTGGTACTTAAATACTCTTCTGAGGTCTCAAGCTTTTCCTTCTACTTATTCTTTTACTGCTTCCCAGCATCCTATCCCATTCTTCCTCCGCCCCTTTCCCCTCGTCTTTTTCTACTACCTCTTCTTCGGCCTTCAGTTTCTTCTCCTTCTCCCCTTCTCCGTCTTTAGATTCCTTCCTATCTTCTTCTTCCCTAACCTTCTCTTCCACACGCGGAAACTTCCTCGGCCGGCCTCTCTTTCTCGGAGCCTGCTGCGATTCAGACTGCGTCTGATCTTTTCCAATGAACAAGCTCGATCGCTTCCTCTGCTTCTTCTTCACCATCTCAAATAAAAAATCAATTTTTCGATCCTAGCAATCGAAAAAATCTAGGCTTGTGCCTTGACCGAATCTCTGTATGGATGAAGCTTTGACCGAATCTGCGGAATGCTTCTTCTCTACTCTCTCTCTCTTTCAGCAGACTATGGTGTCCGTCTTATCCACCTTTTTCTCAGATAAAGAAGGGAAGGTTTGTTTAATAGTTTCCTTAGCTCCGACGACTTCTTCACAAAGCCTGTGGCCCCCGGGGGTTAAACAAGGAGCGGAAGCCGCAGGGAAGAAAGACCATGAGAGCATGATCAATTTACATACATACCGCCCAATTCCTATGTATTTACTTGTCCAACACTTCAATTTTATTTCTTACATTTATACCACCTAAATCTTTAATATCATATGAAAACTACCATCATTTTAATTTTTAGAAAGTGTTTCAAGCATAGGTAAGGTGTAATGTACCTAAAATTTTAAGTTTATGCGTTTGATATGTGAATACCCAATACCCAAGACTTGAGTGGTATGTATGTAAATCTTGCTATATTTTAGTAATGTGTTAGCTGATCCAATTTAATTATTCTTCTCTCGCCACATCCCGCGACTATTATTCTCGAGTGGCATTGTTGGCCATAATATTCATTCCAACTTTCAAAAGACCAGAAAACATTTTTAGAAGAAACAGAGCTAGAAATAAGCGGTTTGCTTTTTTTTTTTTTTTTTTTTTTTTTTTTTAAGAGGGAGGGTGTAGGGTTTCTTATTCTTAAAATGTTTTTTTTGCCTAAACTATATCTTTTTTTTTTGTTTCAAATATATAATTATTTTTAAAAAATATTAATAGTCAATCTAATTAATTATTAATATAAAGTAATTAATTATTAATACCAATTAACAAATACCCGTAATCTTCTGCTCTGCAAAACCATCAGGATTTATCATGAAATTCATTCACTAATATTATGATAAGATAATTCATGACATTATATTCTTTTTCATGAAAAATTTTTATACTAGAGTATTGATGAGTGCCGGAAGATTCACATAGAATAGAGTGATTATTTAACATCTTAACTCGAAATTTAAATAATAAAAAGATTTTTGCCTGGTTATGATTAATTGCCTTTCCCCATTACCCAGTTTCGATCTCCCCGGCCTTCATATGTAATGGAATTACAGCAGGCGAATGCACATAGAGGGGAAGCACACAGAGACGGTGGGTGGAGTGGCGACCATAGGCGATGCCAGGAAGAGACAGTTGTAGTAGTCGTAGGCGAGGTTGACGACGTGATTGAGGCGGACAACAACACTGCAAAGGAGGACGACTGTTGCATGCGGGACGCGTGGGGCTAGAATGGGCTGGAGCGGGCCGACTAGTCCACAGGTCGGTAGAAATGATAGGCCATGGAGCCGATTGTGACCGCTGCTCGGCAAGTCAGATCAAGCACACGACACAACGGTTTGCGCTGATTGGATCGTACTAGGTATGGATTGATGGCAATGGTTACTGTTGTGCGAGATTGATCCGCTAAATAGTCACATGCCATGTCGTTGATTCAAACTTGGGGGACGTGTTGCATAACACATATCTCATGGATCATGCTGTAGTCATCTATTCCTGCAAATCCAAGCTCAATCGGGCGGTTAGCGTGGGACTCACCGGCCAAAGCCAAAATTTGGCTTTTTCCCCTAAATTTGGCATTTTTGGCCCTTTTTTTCCCTTTCGCGCCAATAAAAGGTACCAAAAAGTAAAGAAAAAAATTGAAGTTTCCCATCCGTGTTGTCCAAAGAGGATCTTTTGTGAAGAAAAATTGGAGTATCTCCGCCGTGCACTCTGAAGTGAATTTTTCGTAAAGAAAAAAATGGGATCTCTTATCATGCATTCTAAACTGGTATTTGCATTTATAAAAAAAATTGGAGTCTCACCACTGTTCATCTTTGAGAGGATTCTTCTTGGAAAAAAATTAAAGTCTCCCTGCGCATTACGAAGAGGAATATTCTTGGAGAAAAGTTAGAGTTTCTTAATTTTTGTTTTTCTGAGGGATTCTTTATATGGAGTAGATTCTTCATTTCTATCGTGGTGTTTTTTGGAGGGGATTTTCCACGCCACCGTGGCATTCTCTTGAGGGAATTTTTCGTGCAACTGTTGCATTTTTTCAGAGTTGATTGTCTACTCATATGCAGAATTTTTTTGAAGAGGATTTTCACATATCTATGGCATTGTTTGGAAGAATTTCACGTTGCTTTGAGATGTCAATATTCAGGGAATTTTGGCCACCGAAAAAATAGCACAAGTACCAAAAGTCTGAGGAGGCGATATTGACACCCTTACAAGGTGAGCTCACCATTCCTTCGAGGGCATTGAAGACCGAGATTGCAAAAATTGACCACATCCTTGGAGAGCACAAGAAGGTAAATTACTCAAGCATTAGAAATATTATCGTTGGGCAATCGGTTAGCAGATTATTGAGGTGATTTATTCTTCAAGAGGATTTTCCTCTTCTAGTAACACCGGGATTTGATGGATACTTGAGAAGAATTGAAAGAGATGCAAACTAACCCCAATCAAAACACAAATAATTTGAGGATTTTTTTTTGACAAAGATGTTGGATCTTTAAAGGGAGAATGCAAAGCTACTATTTTAAAGTGTAAGAGAAGAATTTTGTCAATGCTTCTACCAAAGCATTTGTGGATCGTACCATTGGACCATAGATAATCTTGAGGATATGTTCTCATTTAAATGTCTAAGGATCCCCTTTGAGTATGAAAAATTGATCCAATTGAAAGTGATATATGGGATCGTACTCTTGATGATGTGGAGGATGTTGCATTAGTTTGGTTTCTTTATGT